GGCTATATGGCTTGCAAAGACTTTTGAACAGTTATCATTTAAAATATAGACTTTAGAGTACAGTTAGGTATAAATGATGAAGCTAAGCAGATATAGCTATTGAATTTTAATACATAACTGTAATAGCCAATTCCGAAAAAGCTATCAAACTCAATTAAAACTGGTAGACAAGCCCGCGAACGGCAAAACTATAACGGTTGCAGACCATCTTGATAACGGTAGTAACATACGGTCATGTTTATTGCAACACATAACTTAAAATAATAAAATTCAGTATGTTTTAATGGGTGGTTTCAAAGACACAAGAAGATAGAAGATACAATTATATCGAACAACACAATCCATGCTAAACAAAATTTAATTAGGTCTTTACACCTCCTTAGCGTGGAAAAATAAAATCGAAGCAACATAACCATTTATGGCAAAGTTTATTCTTTTTTTATTTAATTAACTAGCGACCCGCCCCGGCTCGCAACCGCATCAAAATCCGTTGCGTAGTTTTAAAGATCTAAGCATACATACGGACATACAGCGAAAGCGACTTTGTTTTATACTATGTATTGATAATTCATTATTGTGACTCGACTCGATAACAAAGTAGATTGACGACCATGCTGTCAACTCGCTGTGATCGTTTATCACGGCATTAGAATATGATAACGATAATTCTATACAATAATGACGTAATAACAAAATCTACACAAACTATTTAGAATTTCAAATGTTACCTCCGAAATGGAAAGGTTAAACTCATCATTTGAGAAACAAAATATTTCAATGCTAATTTTGGTATGATCAGACACATTTTTGACGTCCTACGTAAATAATCTTGAATTGGAACACTGGTTCATTGCTATAACATTCATTTTCTTAACACTACCTTTTAAATCGAAGCGACGATATCTTCAATACGGTATCAATAAATTTCATACTATTGGAAAATCGTACACCACAGAAGGGAAAATGGCAAAGTTACAGATACATATTCATTAGAATCTTAATAGGAAGGCAAATATAGACAATCTTAATGCCTGGGAAACAAATACAAATGGTCTAGAGGATAAAGGAACCGTTACGACAGAAGCCAAAGATTTAAATGAGACGAAAGATACGTTTGTGAATTACAAAATGGACACATTCACTGACACAATATAGAGCACATGTACGCAGTAAACACGCTAGATTAGAATATTGTAATGAAGCCTGGGAATGAGAATGTTAAAACAAAAGAGCACTAAGAACTCTAAGAACTGTGGCGAACAAATAAATCTTAATCTACGAAATAAATTAAAATGAAAAATACATTTAACGCAACATTATTAACAACAAAAAAGTTTACTACGACTTGTAATAGCAATTTATTTATAGACAAGACATTCGTTTTCTTTTTTAAGCACTGACCTTGTTAGCCGAAAACAACTTAGAAGACGCAATCGATATTGATTTATACAATACAAAAGCTTTCTCTGTGAATGAAGAAGTTGTTTTACTACTTCATCTAAATATAGACGTACTGTAGTTTATTGGAAGTCATAATCTTAGTATCTTCAACTAACAAAAACATTTCACTCACTATCGATAATCTTTGGAATTCAATTATGGATTGCTATAATAGATTACATGAAAGTTTTATTATAAGTTCGTACGATCAATTTTCGCAATTTATCTTTCCAATTATAAGTCCCTTTGCTCCTTGGGCCAATCAGGTATCTGTTTCAGAAGCATTATCACTTCGAAACGAGGGCGCCAGCCCCGTACCGTTATGGCAAGAACTTGAAGGAGAAACACACGGATACGTATTGCCGGCGTTAACGGTTAGACTTTTCTTAGAAACGAGTAATGAGCTAATGAGTGCTTCCGTAATAAATATTGATGAACTAAATGGTGGAAGTTAAAGGTTGATTGGTATAGATAGCATTGGTGTTTGGCGTGGAGCTCTAGAAATTGTGGTACTGTCGACCAATGTTGTTCGCTCTTTGTGTTTTTGTTTTTGTAAACAAGAGTGAACGTTCTTCTCAAATGTCCGTCAACTCATAAAAACTATCGACAAACGAAATCAACAACATGATTGTGCAAGAATTTGAATAACTATCTAAATAATCACGCAAACATCGATAGTGAAGCAAGAAATTCATCCAAAAAGATCTTACCTTCAATATTCACAAGCACAAACCAAATATTCATACAAAATAACTTCAGTGTTTGCGTCAAAATGAATCCAGAAACTATTAATCAAATATTGGATACAATATATTTCCTTGAAAGGAACCAAATAGCAATCTCTAAGCACACAAAGCAACAGGTCACTAATACCGCAACCTTATTACCTTTGAATTTATCGTTAACGCGCATAAATTTGGTCTGTATATTTCGAAAGTCGAGAGTTTGAAAAGCCCGTACCGCCATTGTAAAGACCTTATTAGCTCTAAAGGTCCATGTTCCTGTGAAAGATTTACTTAATGCGATTTCGGAGTAGCGTGCAGAAGTACGTGTGGTCTACTGCTATTTGGTATTCAATGAGCCTGATTTAGAAGGCGAACGAAATTAAGAGCTGGTGATAATGTGCCGGTGCTAAGAGTCTAGTGTCGGTTATTGTCTTGAGAATTGGAAATGCTTAAGCGGGCGCAAAGTTAGCTGTGAAATTTAAATAAGCACGAACTTGTTCCGGTTAAGCACAATAATTAAGACAAGTTTCGTCTTACTTGAAAGATATTGGGTTACAAATACGATCACACTTATTTCTAAAACACTCATCCCCCATTTACTTCAACTACTGTACGTAAATCTCTATTTCCATGGTAATTGCCTGTATAGTTGCGATCTATTTATAATTTTCGAGTATTTTGCACACAGCTACGCAGAACGCCCACAGGTTGTATGTACATTTGCCATAGGTAGCATCAGTAAAAAGCACGTGAAGCGTTTACTTCAATGAATGATTCAAATCTGTGACTAACCAACTTAAAATAACTTTGAAGAGTTTTCAAATTCAGGACCTTATTCATACAAATCAAACTGATTTAGTCTAGACTACTAACGTCATCTCGAAGAAATTCTCAACATCCATGACATCATATTACACCACCTCAATACAAAATAGCTAAAAACTTTCAATCGTTCATTCCCCTCACGTTTTATAATGATGTTGATTACATTAAATTAAGCGAACCCATATCACGAACCATGTATGTTCGTATGTTGTAAAGTTCCGTGAACTTTGACCCAAGACTTAGTAGTATTCTTTGGGAATTTGTTCAAAGTAACGGACCCCGTTCATTAATGGCATTGTGATGGGAACGTTTAATTGTATGCTATCGTGAATATTGTGATGTTTTAGGAAAACTATCCACCGTGCGTGCATGATGTTATGTAAGATATCTATGGATTATAATGCATATATTTGTTTGCACCGGTATGTGTTTCATTAAGAGTGTTTCTTGAGTCTCTCTCATAACTTTAGAGAAAAAAGCCAAAGTTCTACGTTTAGTACTTCTGCAACTTAAAATCTGTCGTCAAAATGCATTTTGTGTCAGGAAATATCATGAATAGAATTTCAATAAACACAACAATAAAGAAGCTAATGTCAGCAAAATCGCTTTAGTAAAACCGACACCTAATAAAAATGGAGCAACAACTAACATTGGAATCACATTTCTTGATAATGAACTTGACACGCTAAAACAAGGATAAGCAAAACATATTCCCACACTCGCAAAACTGCAACTTAACGAAACAGTAGACGATACAAGTAATCATGAGCAAACACACGATGAAACAAATTCTTCCGCCATGACTAAGATTACATTAAAATTGGAGTCATTTGAGTATTCCGTAATACATTGACGCTTACTTATTCAGGAGACGTAAGTTAACTGGCGTAACCAATTTATACCGAACACATAGTACAAGTTGAACATAGTGTATTGTTAGCTAGCCTCCAGGCAGAATTTGTAACACCTCGCACAAAATGCGTGGTTGAAAGAAAATAGCAAGAGAATATAGGCTCGTTTGTAATGCAAACAAGAATGGTAGGGATGAAGATTTAGAAGAAATAGATGATGGAGAAATATCCCCAGTTTAGATGATAGATGATGACGGAATTGATCTTGTAAACGAATGTACGATTGGATTCGAGATTCTTAGGGTACACTGTAATATTTTTGTCGTTGCTGTAAAGTCAGACTAGTTTTACTGAGTCATTTATGTAAATAGAATCAATGTTTATTCCAACAATAGCTTTGTCAAATAAGAGCTACTTGTATCAGACGTTCTAGTAAAACATGAAATTTATTAAAATATACAATAGCTCGAGCAGAATTTAGATTCGTAAATTGAACAGCTTCGACAATAAGTTTATTCAACTTCAAAACACAATACAATACTGCTTCGAAGTGACCACTAAGAAAGCATTACCACAGGGAATTGAAATGTTACTGTACTGCGAGCATTACTCAAAGTATAGCTCACAGTACGGTAGCACCTGAAATAAGTTGTCTTATCTGTGTAAAATCTAAGATAACTGGAAGTTTAACGATTATTACTTTCGATTATACATGAGCAACCTGTTATATTAAAGTTCAGAGCGTTTCAACGGAGTTAGTTACTCAATCTCATCGAAACTCGGTCCACATTGTAGAAGTGTACACTATAGACACGACAGATTTACGACGAGAACAACTCGCAATTTCACGATTGACGTGAGTTAGAATCGCATACACACCACATATCACGTCGTGGGCTGCGAACCTGTTACCTCCACAAATGTGGGGCGACGCTAAATCATCCGCAGCAGTTCACTGTCTTGTCAAAATAAATTGAATGACTTCATTTTGTCACCAAAGAAGCGTGGGTCGCAGTCCAATTCCTCATGCCACACCCTTCACTTCAACAACAGGGGGATTTATCCATATAGATTGACGATTAACCGGCAGAATAGGTCCTTTATGTGCTTATAGCATAAACATGTTTCTTTACATAATGCATTAACATTCTGGACTCACCTAAAAGTCGTTCGGCGTTCGACCTCATGAATGAATCTGAATCTGTGAACAATAAATGAACATATGTTAAGCATAATTTCTTGTCTTACTGTGTGGTTGAATATGGATACGTAATCATTTATGAATATGTATGTAGGTGCTCAACTAAAATCTTGACATGAAGATACCACCCATGTAACATAAATGAGAAATGAAGTCTCATTTCAATCAGCCAATTTTCCCTGAAACCCATTAACAGATGCAGATGGATCTGTTACTAGTAGTTAATAAGTGCAGCAACAACATAGATTAAACGAACACCCTTCTCACAGAGTTTAACGAGGCAATAACAAGGAATTAACCATAAAACCTCCTAGTTACTCCCCTAGTAGTTACACTACAGTCCGTTGTCACCATAAAAGGCGCGAAAATTAGTAGGTGTAAACGCGGTACTTACAAACAAGACTTTAAATATATAAATCAATCTTCCTTTCATTCCATAATTAGACTAGTTTTTGTTACCATTTCATAATCTGACTTGATACCTTAATTCTGTTTATTACGCGGCTTAGATTTAACGTAATCACTACCGTCTTTAAACACTTTTACTACTTTTTCTGTGACATTGAGTAAATGCAGTTCCTAAGAAATACATTCTGAATATAAGGATGTCTCTTTCATTTGCCGATCACGTATTCAGTGTCCGCGTGAGTTAGTTTTTACATTTCAAAGGGTAGTAAAGGTAATTCTATGCAATTTTCAGTCTTAACTTATAGTTATAGAGGTCCTATTTGCATTGAAAGGCATTTTAAATACAGAATGTCGGTATTGTTATTTATATCAGTCGGAATACATCTTTCACTTGATATAAACACTTTACTCTGCATTAATATTATTTTAAAGTGGGTGTGAATCCAAAATTATAAAATGTTAATTACCAAGTCACATAAAATATCTATTTTCATCAACAAAAAACAAGGCGTCCATAATTCGTAGGCCTGATTACCTCAGGAAGCTTCTAGAACCGATATCTACAATTTTCATACATTATGGTTAAAAGCTTGTGGATCTTCTCTCAATAAATATATTGGAATGAGGATCGCGATAGTACACGACTAACTGCACTGACCTGTGGCTTGAGCATCGCACGGATTTACTGCTTATACTTGCCCTAGATTTGAAGTACTTTATTATGTTTAATATTCTACTGAGAATATATTTAGCTAGCCCATTTTATTCGAAAAGGGCAAATGGCTCCTTAAGTCAGATATAACTGTAGTACCTAACTTCTTTATTCTGTTATTTATTTTCTGTGCAAATTAATATTAAATCGTTTCAGAGGATTAGAGATAACATCGATGCACGCCGTACGGTCTTTCCCGATTCAAATCAGATTGGGATAAACTTCTTCTTTCATGAACCACTACTTTAATAACATTTGATAAGCGTTTCCAGAAACTGAACTAAAACCTTTGTGAGGTTTCAGTTTACTTCTGAGAACACGAAGATATCTTCAATTTACTCGCGCCTTAAACGTGTGCATATAATTGCATATTGCAGCCTAACCACATAATGTTAATCTCGTGTGCTCGTAATAGCAATTACGTGACTCGAAACCATTGTCAACAATTATACTGCGACGGTTTTAGGGAATAATTTTACTAAAATTACAACCTATGTTTCATACTTTACGATGTTTTTGGGACTGTCGTAAAGTCAGAATTCTTAACAAATCACATATTTCTCCGTTGTTATTATTTGGAATTGTGTTTCAAAGCGCGTACTTTCAAAACTATAAAGCGAGTGTTGAAATTTGGCATTACTTGGAACACTTAACAAGTTTAATTACTGAGTAACTTGATATTATAATCGAATGAGAGAATTGAATGAATTCTACAACTATTAAATTTAGTAAATCAACTGCTTTAATTGAGTAGAGGTTTTTGAAAATGACCACTAACTTTATAGTATCAGAATGCAGTATACATTCATTCTTAGTGACATCTTTACCCTTGTTCATTATTCCCTCATCACCCCTCACCCATATCATAAAGTTTTCTAACCCAACTTTTCCTGTTTCAGTAAGTTAAGCCAGCAAACTCTTTACCACAAAAATTGTGAGCATTCTTTGCAGAATTATCTCGCAGCGATTATACTTGAACTGAAAGTCATAAATATCAGTGCACGTTTACTTAATTCCATACCTAACCGTAATAAAACTAAGTCCAGGAAGAAATTAGAGTTAGCGTTGATGAATGTTTGACGTGACGTCAGTTCGTGATGCAGTTGTTTCCATAACTGTATTAGTGAGTGTTCCTAGTTTAAATGCAACTCCAGTTAGAAGAGAATTCAGGACTACTCATAGAACTATGTTGTAAAAAATGTTTAGAACTAAATGTTACGAATCTAATTTCACATTGTAATCATGCAGAGGTGAACTTTAGTCCAAACATAAAAACGTCCACAAAAGGTATACTTGATACCACAAGCGGATTTTCTATCAGTCAAACCTGGTATTCTGGTGAGGATAAAGATGAACCACTTGAACTGACCAAACTCTGACTACAAACAATAAAGCTGATCGATATCAACAACTTGAATCTTCCATTAGTCCTGATTGACTGACTTCAAAGAAATTAATGCAAGAAACGAGCGTAGACTAGAACCTGACGAGATGGGTAAAGGAATTTTGGTATTCACAAAAATAATTTTCTACATCACTAATTCGAGTCCCGTTAAAACTGATGAATCGATTACGCCTAATTTCTTGCGGATTCCGAAGGCTGATCAAGCGAAAATTAATTAGTGATGTTACGACTGATAGAACTTATCGTGTCATTCAACTAAACGGTTTTGTTACGACACTAAATTATTCAAAATTCGTTCTTAAAAAACTTCTTGAATAATTCTCCGAAGAAGCCGCGGAGGACTTCACGGGTTGCCCGGTTTGCCGAGATGCAGAAGTGGGAACGGGTTGGTTTTTAGTCAGTAAGAGTCTGACACTTCCTCCCCGCTCGCCAGGGCGGGAGTTGTCATTCGATGATTTTTCACCCTAAAATGCATAACGCAGCATGAAGTATTAGTTACGACGCTGGTAATAAATATTTTAGGGATTAAAATATATCGGCTTCCATTCGGCCTACGGATATTATCTATCGGTCTATTAGGGGGAATAGATACTAAATTAAAATTTGTAACCATCCTCTTTTGATATTTACGTACGCTCGCACAAATTGCATATCTGCAGTATAGAAAATATTAATTAAATAATAAGCGCTAAATATTCAAAGGTAAATGTCAATCATATACAATTTTAATTGGCAAACCTTTAAAGACTTTTCAAGTAGGACTCCTTAAGTTAATTGAAAATCTGTCGGAAAACTTCATATTCGCAGTAAACATTGTACTTAATTCTCTGGTTTTAGAACATTTTAATTAAAAGTCTAAGCTTAATACCGGTTCTTATTAAAATCTTAACCTAAGTTTAGGTTTTATGGGGGTGTAAATTATTTTGTTTAGTTATCCTATAATTCTAATTTATTGGGGAAATATACCATAGCTTTAAAAGCAGAGTAATTGATTTTAAATAATCATAACATAACATCACGCTTTTTATCCCCGAAGGGGTAGGCAGAGGTGCACATTAATAATGTAACACCCACTTTTCACTATTTATGTTATGAGTCCCATGTAATAGGGGGTGAGCCTATTGCCATATACCGGGCACAATTCTAGACTCCGTGCTACTACTGAGATTTTTTTTTAAAACCCAGTAATACTTTGCCCGACCCGGGAATCGAACCCGAGACCCCTTGCCCGGCAGTCGCACTTGCGAACACTCTTTTAAATAATCATAATAATTTAATACGAACGAACGCTTGAGACAATGTATGAATGTTTGCAACACTTTTTCATATAACTACTGAATGGATCGGATTGGAATTCGGCACGGAGAAGAAATGTAGTCTGGAATGACACAGAGACTAATATCGCGACGTGGGCATAACCGCAGGCAGATAGTACAATAATACTTTGAACTTTCTTTCGGTCATTTCCCAATAATGTTATGTAAAACTAATGATACGTATTTTAAATATGATCCCCATTCATCTGCCAAGATTGAAAGTGTTAATGGCACCTCTATAATGGTCAGCTCCATTTAAATAACAATTTGCGATGTAGAGCAGTATTCGATACGTAATTACAGACAAAAAATGATGCAATGAATAAATGCCTCACATAAGTAAGCCCAATGGCAACGCGAGATGTATTTGTAAATGACTGCCGATTTGTCTTTTAGACAAAAGTATATTGTTTTTGCTACGAAGATGCATGGTCCATTCTGTTTGTGTAACTTCAAGTTATTAAGTGAAGCAGCTTTCGGTTGTGACAAATATTGGTACATGTTTAGATGTACATTCATATGTCTAAGACGCCTCGCTATATAGGTAACTGATTTCTCTTGCTTATGTTATAATGTCAGCATAGCTCGCGAGGGCTTGGCACAGTTCCTATCAGGCATTCAAAGAAAGGTAATGGGATTAACTCTAAATACACGACACGGTTGACTTACTCCGAACGTGCACAGAATTATTGCCCTTATCGATCAACAATGAACACGCAAAAAGCAAATATTTTACATAATTCACTAGAGAAAAATTCCTATCCAGTATTATACTCCCGGATAATGCCTATTCCTAAAGGTTTTAATTTTCATACAGCGACCTTACAAAGTGGACTGTTATTACATACCAACGATTTTTCCTACAATTGTGAACTGTAAGTAAATCCGCGGTTTTTAGAGCGTCTCTTTCTCACAGAGTTCCATTATCAATACTGGTCATCTACAACATAAACTAGTCTTTCTTGCTTTGCAATAACAGGCAATTTTGTTTGCACACAAAGTAAATATCGAAGGTTAATAAGTCAATGAAAAATGGACGTTATCTTTTGCAGGTAAAGTGGGTTTTTAAATGTCATTGATTGGTTTGTAAGACGTTTTAGCGTGTGATAGGCACGATTGTCGTGGTCAGGTTTCCCGACTACGCAACTGGCTGTAGGGT